TACAGAAAATCCCACTGTATCCAATGTCTGTAATATTTACTGCACTTAGAGTGAACCTAAAAACTTCCTAAATTTAGTTAATAGTAAATACCTCAAAATACCTAAAGAGGTAGGTTTCAACCGCTAACGGTGTGAAAATTGTTTCGGATCCACTGGTTTAAAGGGCTTCGAATACATTAACTTAACTTAACACCTCATTCCAAATTAATATCAGATATTTCAAAATCAAACAAATATCAGTTCTGTACCAAGATACAGGTGTTACTCCATACCCGACGGGTTTAACCATCAGTTTTAATTTTTGTCTATGCACACATTCCCTTTCTGATGTTCTTCATTCTATTCCACAGTTCTGTGCAAGCATCAGGAATCATTTTCCTTCATCTTGAAAAATTGCCTGTCATATTTCTTATAGAGTGATTCTGACATTTTTCCATTTTATCCCCTCTGAAACTGTTTATTTTATCTTCAATTTTTTAAGTACCTTTAGTTTATTTTTTTATGTGCTGCTGAGGATCGAACCCAGTGCCTCACATGTGCAAGGCAAGTGCTCTACCACTAAGCCCCAGCCCCAGCCCCTCATCTTCAATTTTGAAGAGTAATTTCACTGAGTATAGATTTTTGTGTTGTCTGTACTTTCCTTTCAGCCGCTTAAGATGTTATTCAGTTATCTTTTGGTATTATAATTTCTGTTGAAAAACCAGTCATCAGTCTTACTTTTGTATCTTTGAAAGTAATGTGTGTTTTTCCTCTAGCTGCTTTTAATTGTTAGCAATTGACTACATGGGATTCACAGAGCTTATTGAATCTGCAAATTCATGTCTTTCATTGGGTTTAGAAAATTCTTGGGAATTAGTTTTCCAAATATTGATTCTATTCCATTCTGTCTCTACTTTCATTCTAGGGCTGAAGTTATAGGTTTGTTAAACATTTTGAGTGTGTCCTGCATGTTAATAATATCATTTTTTTAATTAAATTTTTCTCTTTTGATAATTTGAATACTTTCTTTTGGCTGAGTGACTTAAATTTGTTAATTCTGGGGGGTGCAATTCTTAGAAGAGTCACCTAAAAAATATGGAAGATAGGTTGATTGAACTCAGGGGCACTCAACCACTGAGCCATATGCCCAGCCCTATTTTGTATTTTATTTAGATACAGGGTTTCATTGAGTTACTTAGCACCTTGCTATTTTTTGCTAAGGCTGGCTTTGAACTCTCGATCCTTCTGCCTCAGCCTCCAGAGCCACTGGGATTACAGGCGTGCACCACCACACCCTGCTAACCTAGTTTTAGGATAGAAAATATTACTAACGTGCAATTGGTAATCAAAGAAGTACCAAATTATTAGCTGCTTATATCAAAGAACATGATTTAAYAAGTTTTTACATATGCTATTCTTTGTTGTGCATTATTATTTCTTTTTTTTTTATATTTATTTTTTAGTTTTCGGTGGACACAACATCTTTGTATGTGGTGCTGAGGATCAAACCTGGGCCGCACACATGCCAGCCRAGCGTGCTACCACTTGAGCCACATCCCCAGCCCATGCATCATTATTTCTAATTCCTTATTTCCTCATCAAACTCCAATTGAAGTCCCACTTAGGGATTGTTAAAATAAGAATATTTATCCAGATGGATCCTCTGGATGATCACAGTATTTCCGAAGTGGCATATATTCATATCTAAATTTCACCTCAAGAGGATTGTTTCACAATGATGTCCCCTAGGGGAATTACTACAAAGATTAACAYTGTATTGTTTTTCTTTACATTTATCTACCATTTCTAATCTCTTCCTAGAAACACTTAGATAACTGCCTAGCTCTTTTTATAAGAAATATGTTTTTACTTGATACACTTTTAAATTTATTTTGAATGGAGGCATTTAAAAGTTATTTTTAATTAATTGAAAATTAGTTGAGTTGGTTTTACAATATTGTTATCTACTTTTATCTTACACAGAGTACATCTGGTTGAAAGAGAAAAAGCAGAGCGAAAAGCTGATCTTTTGGAGAAAATGTTGTCAGGCACTAGCAGATTCCCTTCTTATATGACTATGAAAGGACAAGAAGATTTATTGGATGTTTTCCCAGTGAAGGTGAGAACAAATTCCAATTAATCTCTGAAGAAACAGGATTTTTATTACCTATTGTTACTCCAGAAAATAATGTGTAGAGTTGAGTAACTTATTGGTTAGTGTTCTCTCTCTCTCTCTCTCTCTCTCTCTCTCTC